TGCAAGGCTCACACATTGTCTCAGTGCAGGAACTCAGAGCTGAATTTTATGGAGGAACTCCGTTAGGAAGCTGAAGGTGTGTGGGTGAGTGTGAGACACAACAAAGGGACAGAAAGGACACCGGTGTTTGGCACAGGCTGGCTCTTTAGTTCCCTGGCCTTAAGGTAAGTGCCTAGCCCTGTCCTTAAGATGGAACAAGCAGGACAAAGGTACCCATCCACCACTTACCAGGATCAATGCTCACTGGTTCCAAATGTGACCTGACCCAATCAAGAAGGGCCAGCATGATGCTAGGCAGGCGACTCTGCTACAGCCTTGTAGACTCCCTGAACATTTCTTCATTGGGATCACAGAACCCCTAACACCTATGATGTGGGAACTGTGTGAGCCCCACTTCGCAGATGGGTAGGTAGACACACAAGGAGATCCAGGATGTGAAAAGTTTTACACCTGGGGTCTGACACTCCACAACACGCGCATATTGTTCTCAGTAGACATATTTCAGAAAGCAGTGGGGTGTCCAAGTACAGCTCTGGGCTCCCTCCTCCCAAAAGCTCCAATAGAAAACTGATGTAGACCTGTCCCTCTCCCAAGCTGTTTTGAAAGGCTACTAGGAAACGAGATGCGATTTGTTCTTTTCCAAACTCCTGATTTAATACTCATTGTTAGCATCGGCCTTGCCAGGAAGTCCTTCCTCCTGTCTAACCTCTGCACTTCCAGATATAATGGGAGTGGGGGAGAGGGGGTTGAGAGGGAGGAGGGGGAGAGGGGGAGAGAGGGGAGGAGGGGGAGAGAGGGAGAGAGAGAAGCAAGGCTTCTATTTCAGGACGGTGTATTCTTATTCCCTAAAACTAGGGTTGAATTCTCTAACCCGGACACTGTGACACTCAGGGCTGGCCATCACAAGCCTCAGTGGAACAGCTTTAAATTATAGAGGACTAAGTTAGAAAAATGGAAAGACAAAACCCAAAAAAACCCACCCAAGTCCCAGCTGGTGCCTAGTTAGTGGCCGTGTGCTTGCCTTGGTGGGGTACCCTCCACCTCTCACAGGTCAGGGTACCCAGTGCGGATGGCTGGAGAAGGCCAAGGAGTTGGTGTTGGGCCAAGGCAATTGTGTGGGGTGGGTTGGACCAGTGTGACTGCCTCCGGTGCCGTCAGAGGAGCTGCCCCTTCTTGCCCAACATCCCCCTCCCCCAAACACGCGGAGGGAGGCAGAGGGAGGGAGTGATTAGCATGGGGCATTGTCCCCAGATAATGGGCCCCAGCTGCCTCCTGAAAGGAGACACAAAGCGCCTGGCGGCTCCACGCGCATTATCCCCTCGTTAAATCTCTGTTATTAGATTAGATTCAGAATGTATTGATTCGGAGGCTGGGGGAGGAGGGGGAGGGAGGAGAAGCTGGCTGGCGAACACTGAGCTGCACTCCCCGCTCGCTCCATCACCAGGAAACTTTTCCTCTAAGCTAGCTTGGGGGAACTCACAGTTTCATCGTCCTCGTTGTCGACCCCCTTCCCACCTCCACCCTCACCACCACCCCCCCCCCCTGCATTGGCTGCTAAGCTCAGCCTCCCTGTCCCAGCTCTCCTGAAAGCTACCAGGTGTCCACTCTAGGGCATGCCTTGGAGGTCCTTGAGCACAGGTGGCCAACCTCAGGAACAAAAGCAACTCCCTTCCTAGGAGCCAGTGGCAATCCCCCAGCAGCTCAGCTGCAGACTCATAGAGCACCAAGGCTTGCGGGCTGCGGAGCACTTCCCCGGTCTCTGATGGAGTTTGGGGGAGACTGTGCGAAGCAGGGTGGGTGGGGAAAGGCGGAGGAGCACGTGGGAGGTGAGATGAGGAAGTGCCTGAGGGGCATGGAGACCAGAAGCCTATCCGTTTGCCTAGGACAGGGTCAGAGGCAGGAGCCATGTAGACTAAAGCAGGCCTGTAGAAGCTGGAGCCTGCTAAAAGGTCTTGATTCCTCACAGCTAACCAAAGGCTGGTTCTCTGCCCTCACTCTGTTATGGTCTTTCTTACCTAGAGCCCAGAGCTTTCCTCTGTGGCTGTAGTCACTCAAGAAGTGTCTAACTTGTCTTTCCACTTCAGATTACTCCCACCCTAGATGATGGCACCTCTGGGGGAGAAGCCATTATCTTCTGAGAGCCACCTTGACCCCTCAAGCAAAGGACCTGGCAGATGAGGCAATGATGGGTGGCAGTAGGCAGGTCCTTCTCTAGACCAAGATGGGTTAATTATTCATATCTCCTGCCACTTGCCACAAATCTTCCTTCATTTACTCCTAAAGCTCATGTCAATACCCCAAACCTGATTTTAGGGTCACTGTACCCTCTTATCTGATTTATTCCAACATGGCTACATTGCATAAACCTCTCTGTACTAAACTTCACTGCCCTCGGGTTGACCTGGATCTCCTATATGCCTGGCTGATCTTGAACTAACAGTAATCCTTCTGCCTCAGCCTCACAAGTGCCAGGAGTACAGGTGCAAGCCACCATTCCTGGGTTTACTTGTCTCTTTAGTCGGCACATTAGGGACTGGAGGCCTAGCCTAGCCTCTTTGGGCTGCCTCACTCTAAGCTTTAGTTATGAAAGGAAGGGAGTAAGCAAAAGACTGGGGGTGTCCCCCAAACCCAGTAAGGACCTCCTATGGCATAGTCCAAGAATAGCTTTGATGAAGAGAAGTTGGTGTACTGGAGACGTTCTCCAGTACTGGGCCTCAGTTTCCCATCCCTGGGAATCATGGCATAGGTGCCAGATCGATGTCCCTATTGGATGTGGCCAGTGGACCAGAAGATGTTACATGCAGCAGCTCATTCCTGAGGTGGATAATTGGCCGCCTCAGTACTGGGCTCTGTCGCCCCATTGATTACGAATGAAGGGTGAGAAGGGGGAGATGGGGAATCAATAGGCTGATGAGTGTCTTACTAGCTCTCTGGTTGAACACTTTGTCAATAGCTACCCACTTAATGGCCAGTGGTGCATTGACTGTCCATCTTTCTATCCTTGTGGCTTGGGACAGGAGAACCTTCTGATAGTGTGTGACTAGGCTCAGCAGTCCTAGTAGGTGGGGTAGCTTTCGATTCTAAAACCAGGCTCCAAGTGAGGAATTACAGGGCCTATCCTGAATAAGAACTGTCCCCACCTCTTGCCCATTCTTGCTCAGCCAAAGGCAACTCCAGGTCCCAGACTCTCCTGTTCAGTAACAGAGCCTGATCCCCACACAAGCAAAACAAAAATCAAAGTGAAATTCTGAAGTCATATCAAAAGCTCATGTGTCTAGGGTAGAGGTGGTGATGAGACCTCAATCCCAGTTCACCCGAGGAGCTAGCAGCTAGTTAGAATCCAGGAACTCTTTGTATGACGGGGATCCTAGGATGAGAGGCAGCTAACAAAAGGTAAACCAGGTGAGCCCTTCTTCAGCCTTAGGCTCTTTCAGATGTGACAAAACCCAAGGCCCCAGATTTCTGTCCTCTGCTCAGCCTCCCAGGTGATTATGAACTGAAATTGCAGTTTGGGGGTTTGAGACTATACCATTCCCAGTGTTTGTATTGACTCTCTTATTGTTAGCTGCCATGGAGCAGCTTAAGAAGTAATGGAACTGTTTGATCTCATCCCAGACATTTTTGGTGGGTCCTGTCCCTGTAGCCTGGCCGTTTGTTATCTAGTTCCCCTCTGCCTTGCTTTACTTTGAGTGTCAGATAAGATAGGAACATGCTAAAGTGTCAGAGGGAACCTTGAGACTAAGACAGAATATTCTTTTTCCTAGATGCCTGTAGCACGAATCTTAAATGGTCTTATTAGTAAAAACAAACCTGGAGCTAGGTATGGGGTGAATGCTGGAAGATCAGAGAAGCAGAACAAGTCACAGCCGCCTCACCTCACCAGTTCCTCAGCTGATCCTGTTTCCTCAGACTGGAAGCCTCTGTGTCCTCATCTGAATGGATCTCAGCTAAACTGTTGCTAAAAGCCTAAAAGCTTAACCAGCTCTAGTTCCTGGTCCTTATGCCTTATATACCTTTCTGCTTTCTGCCATCACTTCCTGGGATTAAAAGTGTGTCACCATGCCTGGCTGTTTCCAGTGTGGCTTAAACTTACAGAGATCCGAATGGATCTCTGCCTCCCAAGTGATAGGATTCAAGGCATGTGTGCCACCATTTTCTGGCCTCTATATCTAGTGGCTGTTCTGTTCTCTGACCCCAGATAAGTTTATTAGGGTGCACAAAATTTTGGGGAACATAATGTCACCACAGATGCCTGTTAGGTGGGTGGGGTGGAGTTGGGGGTATTGCTTAGCGTGTCTTAAGCCCTGATGCCTTGGACAGGTGACCAGGATAAGTTATGTCCAAGAGCGTTATCCCAGCTCTGCCTCCCTCCGAGTCCTACTTCCTGGTTAGGGGCACCAGGCACTGGCTACTAAGAGTTCTGAGGAGAGCCGGGCGGTGGTGGCGCACGCCTTTAATCCCAGCACTCGGGAGGCAGAGCCAGGTGGATCTCTGTGAGTTCGAGGCCAGCCTGGGCTACCAAGTGAGTCCCAGGAAAGGCGCAAAGCTACACAGAGAAACCCTGTCTCGAAAAACGAAAAAAAAAAAAAAAAGAGTTCTGAGGAGATGCCTCAGTCCAGGCCTTGATTTCAGCGTTTCCTAAGCACCAAGCCGGAGGGCGCTGGCCGTGGTGCTGAAGTCTTATCTCCCCAGTAGCGCTCTGTTGCAGGCAGGGTAAGAGCTTGTTCCCTAGAGACCATGAATCCAGAAGAGTTGGCCCACAAGGATCCTTCCAGCATTTTCCCAGTGGGTTGCAGAAAGCCTTCCTCTCTCTCTCTTCTCATTTGATAAATGGTCGGTCTTGACCTTCAAACTGATCCACCTCCTACTGTTTCACCATGGTGACTCTGGTGTCACCCTCTAGTTCCCTGGTCCAGAAAGCATCTGTCAACTGAAACTACATGTGATTCCATCATCCAGCCTTTTTCCAAAGCTGAATACAAATGACCATGGACAGATAGTAAGATATCACTGTGCTTTATTATCCTCCTTTCCCCATTGGCTGACAAAGCTGAGTGCTAGGGAAGTGGCCACAGGTGAGCTGAAAAGAGAGCCATTAGGGGCTGGATAAAATGAATTTAGAAATCTCAGGCACCTATGATAGAGGATTAGTTTTTCTTTGAGCAAAAACCAAATTTTGTGGAAATGAGCAGTTCCAAGGGCTTTAATCAGGAAAGTACTGCAAAGGAAACCGAGCCCCAACGCGTTGATGGGTAAAGTTAGAGGGTACTTGGTTTGTCTTGAACTAGGATATCATGCTTTAAAGCCATAGTAGGGAGGTTGGGAATAAAGTGGGGGAGGCAGAATGCATCTTCAGCACTAAATTTTGGGGCCAAGGGTTCAGACACTGGTATGGGATTGCTCAGACTAATTGGTGTTGGAAACAGAATGAAGGACCTAAGGGGAAATCCTCCATCCTTAGCCTAACCAGTCCCATATACCATGCCGGGTTGTGCTCACTCAAGAATAATGCCAAATGGACCAGAGTGTGACCAGGGTGATGCTGTAGGCCAGCACAGCCAAAAGGTAGATTCGGAAGAGCAGCCTGTCGAGCACGTATCCCACTCTCAGCCAGTCCCGAGCCACCTCCCGCATCTCATCCCGCTTCTCCAGGAAGTGGCGGATGGAGGATAGCTCTTGCAAGAGCCCACGCACAGCCAGTGAGGCCTCTCTAGGTGGTGGAGGAGGGCTACTTCTGCCCCTCAGGGTCTTCTCCAAGTCCTGGGGTCCCCCAACATGGCTGAAGTGGTTTCCCATGGCTGGAAGAAGAAGTGAGCCTTGGTAAGAAAGGGAGACCAGTGAGATATCCTAATGCTGTGGCAAAGGGGTGGGGTATGGAGGCCAGAAGTCAACTTTGGGTGTCTTCCTCAGTTACACTCTACCTTTCTCTCTCTCTCTCTCTTTTCAGACAGAGTCTCACTATATAGTCCTGGCTGGCCTGAAACTCACTATGTAGACCAGGATGGACCAAACTCAGAGATCTGCCCACCTGTGTCTACCAAGTGCTGGGATTCAAGGCATGAACCACCACACCGAGCTCCTCTGAGCCCTTCTCAGCCCATGGGGCTCAGCCTCCAGGACTCCCACCTTACATTCACCTAGGCTGATGAGGGCTTTGAAAGCAAAGGAAAAGGGCCTGGCTGGGCCTGATATTGCATGCCTTTAACCCCATCACTTCCAAGACAGAAAAGATCTCTGAGAAAACCAGCCTGGTCTACATAGTTTGTTCCAGGCCAGCCAGGGTTACATAGTGAGACCCCGTCTTTTAAAAACAGTGGAAAGGGAAACGAGGTTCCAGTCTGATTGACATCTTTGGATAAAGCATCTTTCTGCTTCTATCCTGTATCCGGTTCCCAGGTCCTGTCCTGCATCCCTGGCATATCACAGCCTCCAAACTATGTATGAGTCTGTCCCTACTCTCTCTCTCACCTGAGCAGTCCTCAGTCTTGTTGGCTTGGAAGGTGGCTGGGTGCCTATGGGCCATGGGCTGCTGCTCCCCTAGACAGAGCAGCCAGGCTGTTTTCTCTAGGACCAGGTGCCTGAGCCAGGCCGGTACTGGCCGCTGTAGGTCCTGCTTGTGCACCAGCCGCACGATGAAGATGGTCTCGGCAAGGCTTATCACCAGCAGAGCCATGCACACCACAAAGTAGACACCTGAGCCAGAGAAAGAGATACACTGAGGGCAGGAGCAAGTCCACATCACAGTGCACTCTTGCCTGGGGGAGGCCTTACCAATGAGGGGAGTGCCGATGGCCGTTGCCGGCAGTGTGTCTGACACAATGATGAGAAAGACTGAGTATCCCAGAAGGAGTGTGATCTTGAAGGAGACTCTCTCGCCACTGTCTGGGGGCAGGCAAAAGCCCGCAATGTCGACAACCATGAGGAAGATACTGGGCAGCAGGAGACTGACTGCGTAGAACAAAGGCCGCCGGCGGATGACCACCTGGAACCAAGATAGAAGCTTGGGGATGGCTGGGCAGACAGGAACCCAGGGACCACTCCCCCCTACCCAGCCCCCTCTCTTATAGAACTTCCAGCCTGGATGGCTTGGGGAAGGAGAGGAACAGACCCATATCCTTCCTCTGGCACCAGGCTTGTGGCCATTGAGGACAAACGTGGAGTGCTTCAGGTGTGTTCCCGTCTCCCTTTGCTGAAGTTACATGGGATGTGTATGGATCTGGAGCTGGCAACAGGGCTGCTCTGCCCTTCCCAGTCGCCTCTTTATGCCACCCCAATTGTGGAGGTCGAGTCATCTTTGTCGCCACTCCAGCCACAGCCACGCCCACTCACATAGAACTTCATTTCGGCATAGCTGCTACTGGTTTCCATACTGAACTCCTGAAACTGGGTCAGCACTCCCAGCAACTCCCACTCGCCCTGATTCATGAAGACGCTCTTGTCTGACCTCACTTCTTCTGGTGATCGCCACAGGGAAATGTTGATGTCCTGGACTAAGAGACAAAGGGTCAAAAGAAGCTTTGGAATCTCAAGCATAGAACCTTCAAGCATAAAAGATAGATAAGGCATTGTTCAGACAACACCCAAGGAACCTTCTTGTCAGATCTCTAGACCCCAGACTTCTGCCCTTAACCTTCAGCCCTGGTTTCTTCAGCTGTACAAAGTGCGGTGACAGAACACATTTTGTTTATCTCACAAGCCTATAGTGAGGGCACCGTGCAAAACAATGCACGAAGCATCCATTAGAAAGCTTTCTGTCTCTGTCTCTGTCTCTGTCTCTCTCACTTACACCCCCCCCACACACACACACTCACACACCCCTTCCAAACAGTCTTCTATGTTTCTTTGTTAGAGTTTCTCATCTAGGAAATGAATTAAACACAACATTTTTACTTCTGTCTTCATAGAACTGCCTGTCTTTGAAGAAGAATTAAGAAAATAAAATAAATCCTCATTTACACCATACCACAGATATTCCCCATCTATCTATCTATCTATTTATCTATCTATCTATCTTCCAGAGGACCCAGGTTTGGTTCCCCATACCCACATGGCAGCTCACATCTCTCTGTAACTCCAATTCTAGAGGATCCAATGCTCTTTTCTGATCTCCATGGACACCAGGTACACACATGATGCACACACATATATGCAATCAAAACATTCTTATACACAAAATAAAATAATAAATAAATATAAAAACAATTTTTAAGTAGAAAAGGGGCTGAGGAAATGGCTCAGTGAGTGGAGAGCTTGCTGTTCAGACACAAAGACCTCAGTTGGATCCTCAGAAGCCACATAAGAAATCTGGGTGTGGAGGTAACACTTGCCATCTCAGCTCGGGAGAGGTAAAGACAGTGGAATCCCTGGGCTCACTGGCCAGCCTAACTTAACTGCCAAGTACAGGGAACAGTGAGAGAACCCTGCCTCAAAAAGACAAGATGGGGAGCAACTGTGGAAGATACCTTGGGTTGGTCTCTGACCCCCACATATGTGAGCAACACACACACACACACACACACACACACACACACAAGGAAATAAAGGAAACTATCTAAATGTCCATCCCTCAAGAAAATACTTAATAAACAATGATATGCCTAGAGGAGTCTATTGCAGTTAAAATTTATGAGGAAGATCTCATACTCACTAGTTTTGAGAAAGATCAGGAATTCATTGTTGATAAAAAAGAATTAAATAGCAGTATATGATAGGAGATGCAATATGTGCTCTCCATAGGTAGCACATGTGTGTGTGCGTGCACACACCTGTGGGTTGAAATGCATAAAGTAAATGGAAGATTCATGTCATGTTGTATTTAGAAACAATTTTTGTATGTATGAGTGTTTTCACCTACATGTGTATTTGTGTACTCTGTGTGTGTGCAGTGTCTGTGGAGGCCAGAAGAGGGCATTGGATTCCCTGGAACTGAAGTTACTGTTGTGAGCGATCATGTGGGTGCTGGGAACAGAACCTGGGTCCTCTGGAAGGGCAACAAGTACTCTTAACTGCTGAGTCATCTTTCCAGCCCCCATAATTGAAGTTTAATGTAATGAACAGGTCAGAAAGGGACAGATTGTTTTCCTATAGTCCAGCGTTGTGTTTTCACCAGCCCTCCACTGAATACCTGGCACCCACACACTCAATAAAAATTCTCAGGACCAGTCACTGTGCTGGAGAGCCTAAGAGTGGATCAGAAACCATGTTCCCACTCTCTGAAATCATGCCCATGAGAAAATTAGACATGGACTGAACAAGTATTGTCAAGTGACGAAGTTAGTAAGAAAAAGCAGGGTTCTTAAAAACTGCATGAGAAATAGCTAGTCTAGGGGGCTAGAGGAAGTCCTCCCAGGCACTGGCGATACCTGGGGATAATCCGGTGAGTAGAGGGGTTGATCAGGCTGTGTTTGGGGTGCTGAGAGTAGGAGAAGGAAGATGGGCGGGTAGCTTAGGAGAGGGAACAGCCTGTGATAAAGAGAACAGGCAAGACCTCTAGGCCTCCAGAAGAAGGCAGCTGGGCTGGCACAAACCAGATGAAGCTGGTGTGGTACACTGTGGGCAGGACCAGGTCAAGGATTTGGATTGGGTCCCAGGACTACTGGGAAGCCATTCAGGGGTTTAAATAACATGATCAGATTTGCATTTTAATAAGAGCTCACTGGCTGTTGTGGGGAGCCTGAACCACGGTGGGGGTGGTACATGGGGAAGACCAGGGGAGGAGGGGAATAAGGACACCTGGGCAGGAGGTGTTGGCTTAATTCAGGGGTGAAGAGGAGTGGGTGGGTCTGAGATACATTTCCTGCCAGATCTACTTTGAGATACTGGCTAAGAACTGTCCCTTGCTGAGTGTCACATGAATCCTTGTAACAACTAGGGGAGGCAGTGAGAACAGCAATATTGGCTCCAGCTGGAGGAACAGGAAACAGAGGCTCATTGGCGTTTAAAAGACAAGTGGCAGGATATATTGCTCAGTGGTGGGGTGCTTGCCTAGCATGTGCACGGTCGTAGGTCAGATCCCCAGAACCACAAGGGAACAAGACAAATGGAAGAGACGGCTGAAGGGAAGAGAAGGGGGGAGAAAGTAAGTGGTGTCTTGATCGAGGGAGGCTATATCATAGAGAATGCGCCTGGCCCCAAGTGCCTGAGAGCCCCAACGTCTGCCCCACTCACAAGCCCACGTACTCACTGGTATGCAGCCAGCTGGTGAAGGTCAAAGAGCAGTTCTGCACATCAAAGGGGAAGTTATAGATGTCCAGGCTACAGGCGGTCACCACCTGGAGGGGCTTGTAGTTTTGGACTTCACCTTGATGATGCACGTACACATAAGGGATGCTCGGAGACTTCCCCACGTCCACACTGGTCAGGGAAGAGGAATCCATTTGTGGGCTGAAGAGACAGACCCTTGCCCTTGGAGGCTAAAGATCTTTTGAGTAGGCCAGTAGGAAAAGAAATTCAGGGAGGGTCTGGACGGCAAGATAATCCCGACATTTTGTCTGGCCTTAATTTTCCAGGGTTAGCCATCTCAGCTTTCCGACCCACTGTTATCAAGTGATGCTCCAAACAATAAAGGGTGCTTCTCTTTAACTCCCCTAGCTCTCAAAGGAAGAGAAGGAATCCATGAATCTATAAGCCACTGGCTGTAGGGAGCTAGCCAATTGTCTCCAGGCTGTCTCACCCACCCCACGCTGGATAGAATAGAGCTGACTTCAGAATGGCCAGTGATTGGATAGGAGGGAAGAATCGTATGTTCCCTGACTCTGATTTTGCTTTGATTGCCATTTTTAGAAGCCCCCAAAGTGAAAGCAGTCATCTCAGGAGGGAAGAGAATAGAGATCATAAGTAAGAACAGGGGAGCCTAGGAAAATCCAACAAGAATTCAGCCCATTCTCTTGACTGAGCCTGGACTCCAAGGCTGAGGTTAGTCTTTATCCTTCTGTGGGATTGCCTGAAAGATGAGAAGCTAAGATAAAAGGCAGAAGGAAATTTCTAGAACACTTGCCACTTGTGCCATTTGGAGCATTCCAGGGTGGAGTCAAATTCAATGACCTTCTTTAGGAGAATGCCATGGAGTTGGACGGTGCAGTTGATACTGCATGAATCCCTCTGGCGCCTCCCCTTACTGTTATTATTAATTTTTTTTAGATAAGGTCTCATGTAGTCCAGGCTGGCCTCGGACTTTCTATGGAGTCAGGAATGGGCTTGAACTTCTGATAATCTTGCCTCCATCTCCCAAGTGCTGGGATTGTAGGCCTGTGCCAACACATCGGGTTTATTTGACACTAGGCACGGAACCCAGGCACTTTGCATGCAAGCCAGATACTCCACCAATTGAGTCACAGCCCCAGCCTCCCTTCCCCTTTCTATCTGTATTTCCCCCACGTATTTTCCTTGCCTTTGAACTCAGAGGTCCAGTTGGTGGACCCTGGATGAACCTGCAGGATGGGGAGAAAGTCAGCTGGCTGAAGGCGATGGGACCATGTTGGCTGCTGGGAACAAAAGCTAATGGGACCCACTTCATACCGGAGGTGCCAACTGTGGCCTGTTCAGCACATGCGTGGCTTGGGAGGTTTGAACATGTTCCTTGGCTCCAAATCTCTTTTGTGACCAGGAGCATTGACTGCCATCAGTGTTTCACTCCTTTCAAAAAGTGTAACAGTCCCCTCTGACAAATGCAGCTGTCTCCATTAAGTTATTAGAACTCAGTGTGACATCACTTGCTGGCTTCTGTTCCTATGATAGGGGCCCCTGAACTAAGAAGTATAAGGTTGTAGCATCCAGTACAAAAAGAAAGGGATGGGGGGTTATCAAAGAAGAGAAAATTGGGTAAAGGAGAGCTTGAGCAAATGCTAACTTGACTTACAGCCTGCAAGCTTGGCTGGGACAATTTGGAGGCTGCAGAGAGGAAGTTGTCACCATGCCTGACTTCTCTAGTCCCAGCCTCCCAGCCCCCTCGACTCTGATGATAGTACTCACAACTCATTGATGAGAATGTCAGGGACCCAGATGCTGTCTGTGGGGATGGACAATTTGGTGATATTGTCAAAGTCCTCGGGAGTCCACTGCAGAAATTCATCAGTCCAGAACTGTGGGAGAAGCAGAAACAGTCCTGGGCAGCTCCCTCTCTTTGGTGAGGGTCACCTGCAAATCAGACATATCCCTACCCCTTATGCTCAGGCAGTAGGTGGGCATCTTCCAGGGGGAAATCTGAGCATTGACCCACATCACTCACTGGTGGCTGAGAGACCCCCCCCACCTCTACAGGTCTCCATCATCTGCATGTATAACAGCACAGACTGCTGCAGCCTCTTCTGGGGAAGCATGCAGCCTGTTCTTGTTTGGCTCCTTGCCCACGAGACAGGGTGTGTTCTGAATTAAGGGATCCTTCAGTGAGACAGAAATGGAGCTGTCTGAAAGGATCAGCATTTCTCTGCTACATTCTCTGTTCCATACAGGTATCATGGTGATAGAGCATGGCTATGGCCGTGGGAAGGGATTCCACAGAGACCTGTGTATGCTGCTGTGTCTACAGAGCCTCTGGAGGGAGGCCTCTCTGGTTTACCTCCAACCCCAGAGCTCAGTCAAGGCCTGAGACATCTGTGTACCAATGTGACTGGCACCTGACAAAACAGAACATGTGGCACCAGGCCAGAGTCCTCAGGTTTAAGTGGATGGCTTCTTCCTGTCTCCATCTCTCAGTTTTGATTGTTATCCAACTTAGTGTAGAAGAACTTTCTAGCAACTGAAGTTGTTCACATGAAAGTGAAGTGAAGCCAGGGATTGTCCTTTCTCCAGGGTTAGTCAGCCAGGACTTGTCTAGGATGTTCCAAAGAATCTGAGAAACCAGGGGTGAGGGCTGGGAAGATGTCCCATACCCATTTTGCCCTGGCCCTGAGATGACAACGTTTCACACCCCTAGATCTTTTATCTGTCTACCATTTCTTTGAACCTCCACTGGGGCTGCTGAGATTTCTGACTCCTTGAGAGGGGGACATCCTTCTTGGTACAGAAGTCTCATCTCAAAAAAGCGAGGTGGTGAGAGGTGGTCTGCTCACCTGCCGGTACCAGATGTAGGTGGTCAGCACCTGGTTCTTCTCATCCTAGGAAAGGAAAGGGAGCTGACAGGTGGTCCCACACACACCACCCAACAGGAGCTGGTCTTCTGGAAAGGCAGGAGGTGGGAAAGGACTGGGGAAGGGGATGAACTGGCTACTGGGCATCCAGGAGAAGCTGGTCTGTTAAGAAGACACAACTAGAGTGAAATGCAATGCTTTCTTTTCAAGTTCAAAGGTACATAGTGCAGTGTGGTGGTACATGCCTATAATCCAATACTCAGGGGGCTGAGGCAGGCATACTGATGTGAACTTGAGGCCAGCCTGGAAATACGGTAAAACTCTCTCAGTGAAACACTTAAAAAAAAAAAAACACCCTAAAGATATGTAAATTATGCATGTTTTCTGTTGTCATTGTTTATTATATCTATGTGTTATATCTATCTATGTATATCTATATATGTGTATATATATATATATATATATATATATAATGCATATATGGCCTGCTGTGTTATGAAGTTAAGAGACTCAAAACTACAGAATAAAAAAGGGATTAGTCTCCTCTCCCCCATCTAATTACAGGTCTTCCTTTCTGAAGCACATCAACCTGCCTTTAGCTGTTCTTTCCAGGGATGTTCTAAGTGTTGTGATTCCCTTCTGTATTGGGGTGGAGGGTGTCATGTGACCCAAACAGCCTGTGAAGTCAGTTCCCACCTCCCCATTGCAAGGCAGAGAGCCAACAGCTCTTCGATCACCTGTTTGTCAATCTCCATGCACTGCTTAGCCTCACCTGCTGAACAGTGCACCCCACCTTACTCTAGTTACTGATTAGTTAATTGATGATCTATTAGTTGACATTTTATCTACTGTTGCCATTCAGTGACACCTGCCACTCAAGGGACTTGCGTAAGGCACTAAGGGTGTAAAGATGATATGGGGAGACAGGGTCCATCATCAAGAGGTGACCACATCTAGGACCACATCTTGGACATGGGTGGTCCAAGTTTGTGGTTTGGGCAGCTGTGCAGATGCAGCTTCAGTCTGTCCCCTGTCATGATGCCAGGCCATAGGCACTAGGGTCCTTGATGCCCACTGTACGGCCCAGTAGATGCTTTGGCCTCACATGACTTCTCTGACACCCCCCCCCCCCCCCCCGAACAGGTTGAGGGCAGCTCACCACGTTGAGGATGGCATACATGATGACATCGATGGACACGGTAGTAGGCTTTCTCCAGTCCCGCACGGGCCGCACCCCCTTCCTGTAGTTGACCAGGAGATGATCAGACAGCCTGAGCAGAGCGGGAAGGGTGGTGTTGCGGGCCCGGGTGGCCGCCCTCCAACTGGCTGGAAAGGAGAACAGTTTAACACAGGAGCTGGAGCCCTGGTTCTCTTGCCCCAGCTTAGAATCCATTATAGAATTTCATCCTCTGGGCAGGTAAAATGGCTTAGTGAGTAAAGACACCAGCCATCAACCCTCGTAACCTGAGAGAATGGACGTTTGCAAGTTGTCCTCTGACCTCTACATACATGCCAAGGCGTATGTGTGACTACACACACACACACACACACACACACACACACACACACACACACACACACACACACTACTAATACTAATACAATACTAACAATCATAATAAATAATAAATAAATAAATAAAATGTAATTTTAAAAATAAGAAGAACCTAGCACCAGGCCCTGGCCCTATTCTGGGAATTTTGAGTATTCCTCAGATTCCCTCTGGAAAACAGCAGTAGTAACTCAGAAAGCAGGAGTGACATGTGAAAGCCCTGCTCACTTCAGCAGCACATGTACTAAGATTGGAATGACGTAGAGGTTATGGAAGACCCTGCACAAGGGTGACATGCAAACTTGTGAAGCAGTCAGTATTTCATTAAACAAAATAAAAGTCAGCATGCATTGGGTAGGGAGGGCACAGCTCAGAGTGGACCGGTCCTTTGCAAACCAGGAGCCACAAGGCTGGTTACTATTAAATAATACTGTGTCCTCATATTCTGCCCGCAAGCTTGTCACCAGACAGCAAGGCATTCCTGCAGATTCCTCTCTGGTGTGTCATCTACCTACCCCATCAACTCCCCTCCTATCTGGAAGGACAGAGGCAAGCAAAGAGAAGTGGAAGACAAGAGACTACTTTTAAGTTTGTTTTGTTTTGTTTTGCTTTTCAGGCAGGATCTCACATAGCTGAGGCTCACCTAGAACCTCGTCATGTGACCAAGGATGGACCTTGAACTTCTGATCCCCCTCCCTCCACTTTCTAAATTCTGGTATTACAGGCTTATACCTCCACTCCTTGTTTAAGTGGTGCTGGGGATTGGAGCCAGGGCTGTGTGCATGAATGATATGCTAGGCAGGCCTCTACCAACAGAGCTACATCGCCAGTCCCAAGAGACTTTCTTTTCTTTCCTTTGAGTCTTATTTGGAATAATGGAATAGCATCTACACAAGTCTTCCATTCAATCTCAGGATAGCCTGCCAAAGTAGTTAGCAAGACAGACCATTATACAGACAGGAATCCCCAAGGCTCAGGAGGGTTAAGAGCACACACTGCTAGCTGAGAAACTGAGATTCAAACCAGATTCCATACCACTATCTGAAATTCTGCGAGGCTTGTAGGAGGGTCTGATGGGCTTTGGGAAACTCTTGGGGGTTTGGAGGGTGTCTGGTTAATGCAGCCAGGCCTCAGAACAAGATCAGCTGAAAGAACAGAACAACTCAGGAAAGGCAACCCAAAGCACTTACCACATGCGGCTTGCTTCTGATCCATGTACCCTGCTTCTCCCAACGCCAGCTTGCAGAGAAGAGCATCCTACCCCTAGCTTTCAGTCCCACCCCTTGGTGGCATCCTTCTCACTGTCCCCCAGGGTGCTGCAACACAGCTGTGTAGAAGGAACTTTTCTGTGGGGCTGAATGTGGTCGGCAATAGAAGGACCCAGGACCCATGTAGCCAAACACCCTGTTTCTGAGGCAGACAGGAGAGGATTGGGTAGGAAGGGCAGGGAAGTTTAATATTACTGGAGGTGAGCCTTGGAGGAGCCTAGGGGAGGAGAAAGCCTACAGGACCCAAGCAACAAAACCAGCAGAAGAAAGAAAATGTAAAGTGGTCCTGCTACCCACTCTGCTGCTGACCAGCAGGGCGACCCTAAGTGCATTATTCTCCCGCTCTGGACTGTAGCTATAAGAAGAAAAAGTGGACTAAATGAGCTCACAGGTCCATAGCTGCTTCCATTTGATAAGTTGAAAAGCAAGGCAAAGAGAATGGGAACCTCTCAGCACCTATTTATTTCTTACAGACAGAAACCACCCCACCCCTTTCTCAGCAGAGGACTCACTTGAGCTCAACTTCTCAAACCACTTAATCTGACCTCATACCTTAGAATGCTTTCTCTTTCTCCCTCATCAGCAGTGAGATAGCCAACCCTCCTTCAGCCCTCCTGTGGCTTCAGCCTCTCCTACTTTCAGCTCTTTGAGACCTAAGGCCTTCCCCCACCCCAGCTTGTTATTCCCCTCCCCACCAAACTCCTTACCTTCCGCCTGGGCCAGAAGCAGGGAAAGGACCAGGGCCAACAGCACCTGCGGCATGCAGAGCAGCATGGCAAGCTTCCCAAGCGTGGGAGGGCCTCGGAGCAGCCACTCAGGGTGAGTCCCCCTGACTGCCAGCCTGCACACCCTCTGCCAACCTCATGTCCCAGGCAGCCTGCTTTTCCAACTGCTGTCTGCACCTTGTGAGGCTGCAGCCTGGCACTCCCGGGCCACCAGAGTTGGGGAGCCGCCAAGTTTTCTAGCAAGCAGCTTTTCAGCTGGATCAGGTTTCAGGGCGGGAGGAAGGGGAGGGGAGTCGCCAGCTGATGTCAGGAGAGGGAGCTCAGCCCACCCATTCAAGTAGGTGCCTTGGCCACATCTTGTCCAGGAAATGTTTTGGGGAAAGGGCCTACAGGATCTGTGGAACAAAGATTCAGATTGACAGCTTTGGGACTGTACACTGGGCTGTCACTGTCACTAGTGTCCCTTTACAAGTATAGCAAGGGGAGGGTTGGGGTGGCTTCAGCAGGGGCAGCAGCAGGCACTTTGATTCCCCAAGGTGACATAATGCCCCTAGTGAAGCAGGTGACTGGGCATTTTCTGCAAACAGAAAGGATGGGGGGGGCAGTCAACTAAAGGTCTGCTCCTTCATCCTCATTCAATAAAAACTTTTTAAATTTCGTTTTGATGTGTTTTGCTTTGTTTTTTGAGTCATGGTCTCATGCAGCCCAGGTTGTCCTCAGACTCACTAGGGAGCTGAGAATGGCTTTGGACTTCTCATCCTCCTGACTTCACCTCTTGAGTGACGAAGGATGACGTAAGGCAAGTGCCACCAGGAATTGAAGAAAACGAAATACATTTTACGGAACTTTGCCTGATCTTCTGAGCTTCAACAAATATCATGAAGTGTCTGACCTTTGGTGATTACATTCTCATCCTAAGTTGGGAACATGGCTGGGTTACCCTGGCCTAGCATGCCCAAAGCCTAGTTCAGTCTCTAGGGCCACACAGGAAAACAAAAACTTGCCTTAGGCTAGGTGACGCTCACCTATAATCCTAGGAAGGTAGAGGCAGGAGGATTGGAAGTTTCAGGCCACTCTGAGCTCTGCAGCTGGTTCCAGAGCACTTTCGGTTACATGAGACCCTGTCTCAAGAGACAACAAATAAAAAAATAAATCAAAAGTTAAATAAGCAAAAGGATCAAACACTGCGATCCACATATGTAACCTCAGCTCGTGGAAGGTTGAGGTAGTAGAGCGGTAGGCCTGAGGCCAGCCTACCCAGGATGCACATAGAGCATGACCTCTCTCTCCCTTCCTCCCTCCCTCTCCCTCTCATATACACAGAGTTAAAAATAGTAATGTACATATATTTTAAAGATCTCTTTTACTTTCAATGATGTATATATGGGTGGGAGTGTGAGGGGGTGGGTGGGTATGTACGTATATGAGCGCAGGTGCCCTTAGAGTCTAGAAGAGGATATTGGGTCCCCTGGAACTAGAGTTACAGGCAGTTGCAGGCTGCCTGTCATAGGTGCTTAGGAACTGAATTTTGGTCCTCTGCAAGAGCAATATATGCTTAACCTGTGAGCCATTTCTCCAGCCTTGTAAAAAATATTTTTTTGTTGTTTTTGTTTTGTTTCGTTTTTTTCCCTTGGAGCTGAGGACCGAACCCAGAACCTTGCATTGCTAGGCAAGTGCTCCACCCCTGAGCTAAAACCCCAACCCTGGGTCCCCTGGAGCTGGAGCAGCAGGTGGTTGTGAGCTGCTCAACAGTGGGTGCTGGGAGCTGAACTGAAGTCCTCCGCAAGACTAGTACATGATCTTGGCTGCTGAACCATTCCTTCAGCCCCCTTCCCTTTTTTGCTTAATATCCTTTTGTAGACATTTTCAATACCTTTGTCTAAATTCGGTTTTCTTGAAAGAAATGTTTCTTTTCTCTTTATGAATTAAACGGGTAAACATCTACTTCTCAGAGACACAGCCATGTGCCCCAAAAGTTGCCTGAGTAAAAGGTTGTATAACTTTCAGCTGGGAGGAGGCCCACCCCAATCTGATGTAAGTGAAAACTCGCCTACCTGTTTTGTATTAAAGGCCAAGTTTTCTTATATCCATCATGGTAAATTTTAACAACGAAACACTTGTGTTCTTTGTAATTCCTTTTTAAATTGGATACAAGTATGGACTGGATTGTAAGAAGGAAACGGCTTCTGAATTGTAGTGTCTTTCCTTTCTTTTTTGTTTTATCTCATTTTATTTTTTTATATAGGGTCTCATCTAGCCCAAGCTTGCCTAGAACACTCTCCGTAGTTAACAACGATGATGACAAACTCCTGATCCTCTTGCCTCTACTTCCCAGATTCTGGGATTACAAGTGTGTACCACCACACCCGCTACATACAGTGCTGAGGATGGAACCCGGGGCTTCATGCATGCTAGGCCAGCATTTACCAACCAAGTCACATCCCTAGCCCCAAGAATAATTTAACATACTTTTTAAAGGCAGGATCTCTTGTAGCTGAGGCTGACCTTGAACTTCTGGTACTCCTGTCTCCTCTTTCCAAGTGCTGGGACTATAGGCATATACCACCAAGCCCGGTTTATGTGGTACTGGGGGTCAAGCCCAATACCTTATGCATGTTAGGCAAACACTCTACCAACTGAGCTACATCCCTGGGGCTCTAAATTATACTTAAAAGATAAACACAAGCCTTGGTCGGGCTGAATCCTCTCCTCATTCACATGCACTATGAACTCTGCACACTGCACTGTGACACTCCTTGGCAGAATTCCTTCCTAGGGGTGCTAAACCAGGATTTGGTTCTAAAAGGTTCCATCAAGCTTACAGAGCTTTTGCTACTCTTCTGTAAATTCATTTGCTTCAAAAGTAACCGTTCAGAAACAAAAGGAAAATCAACCTATAGATTTTATTTTGTCTTGAGAGAATGGCAGTGAGACCAAGTGGCAGAAAAGAACACTTGGTAAATAGGGGACCCCAAAATTGTAAATAATGTGTCAAGGCAGACAATCCCAGAGTGAATGTTCTCAGACTTTGTGGTTCACAGAAAGGTAATTCAAGACAGGAAGATCCAGGGTGCCTCCTGGGTTTCCAGTCCAAGGACTCAAAGAAACGCAATGATGCAGGGAAGCAAGCCCTCCCCGGAGGCCAGCTAAAACTCCTAGGTTACCTCTGACCTCTGCTTGGGAACCATTGCACCTGCAAAGTTGCTGCAGATGGCTGCAGGATCTCTCCTCTCACTCCTGTGCATGGTGAGGTCTGCAGACAGCATGCTGCCACTCATTGATGGGTTCGCCTCACCCAGCGATAAGCCAGGGCTGGGCCTTCAGCAGACATAGGAATTTGGGGTCACTGCTGAAGCTGATTCATCAGTAAGGAACAGACAACTCCCACAGCCTCATCACCCAGCTTAGATGCTCCACCGTGGGACTCCAGTGCACACCCAAGCCATGGCAGCCATCTGAAGACAGGTCAGGAGGAAGCATCAAGAGCCAGCCCCCTGTTGTCTGAAAGGGGCCGCACCACAGTGGGAGTGAAAAGAGAAGAAATGGAAGATACTGGGAGATCTAGAGAAGAAGAGGAAGATTTAAAAAATGAAAAGAGAAAGAAAGAAAAAGAAGAAAAGGGAGAGAAGATAAGAAGGGAAGCTGGGCTGGAGACTGAGGGGAGCCAGGCAAGGAGGGAGGGAGGGAGGGAGGGAGGGAGAGGGAGAGGGAGAGGGAGAGGGAGAGGGAGAGGGAGAGAGAGAGAGAGAGAGAGAGAGAGAGAGAGAGAGAGAGAGAGAGAAGGAAGGAAGAGGGGGCATAGGAAACAGCTGGAGGTAGAGTGTGGACTGCCCCCTCCCATCACCCTCCTCTGGGAAGTGGGCCTTCTACACCGTAGAGTGGGGTACCCACTGTGTATGTGCATCAGGACCTGTTAAGAGGTAGGAGGGAGGCCATGGTAGCACACACCTGTAATCCCAGCTGCTTGGGAGGCTGAGGGGAGGGGACCAAGGTTCAAGCATGGCTAAGGATAGATAGCTCAGTTCATAACGAGCTTGCCTAACACACAAGAAGCTCCAGGTTCCGTCCCCAGCACTTCACAAAGCCAGGCATGGGGATGCACGCTTGTAATGTCAGCACCGGGGAGCAGGGAGATCAGAACTTTAAGGTCACCTTCGATGACATCGTGAGTTCAAGACCAACCTGAGATACACAAGACCCTGTCTCAAACAAACAAACAAACATGCAGGCACGCAAAAAGTTTAAGATTAGCTTGGGCAGCTTGGTGAAGCCATATCTCAAAATTAAAAACTACTAAAACAACAACAACAACAACCCTCCAGATGTAGGAGTGTATGCCTGTGATCCCAGTGTGAGGGAAGTGAAGGCAACAGGAGCAAGAGTTCAAGGCTGGGGGCCAGAGAGATGGCTCAGTAGTTAAGAGCCCTGGCTGCTCTTCCAGAGAGAGGACCCGGGTTCAATTCCCGGCACCTGCATGACAGGTTACAGTTATCTGTAACTTTGGTTCCAGGGGGTCTGACACCCTCACACAGACATGAATGCAGGCAAAAATATCAATGCACATGAAATAAAGTTAAATAAATTACTAAAAAAAAAAAAAAAAAAAAAAAAAAAAGAGTTCAAGGCCAGATCAAGCTACATGAGAATCTGAGGCTAGCCTGAGCTACATAAGATTATGTCTCAAAGAAAACCCCTCCAAACTATAAATTAAATTAAAAATATTTAGAGCCTTAGGAAGGCTAAGAACATAGCTCAGTAGAAGAGGGCATGGGTAACATGGGTCAGGCTCTAGATCAGTGGTTCTCAACCTTCCTAAGGCTGTGACCCTTTAATACAGTTCCTAATGTTGTGCTGACCCCAACCAAAAATTATTTCATTGCTACTTCATAGC